GACGATTCCGTATTGGCGTCGCCCAACACTACGCGCGCTACGCGCTCTCTCTCTCTCTCTCTCTCTCTCTCTCTCTCTCTCTCTCTCTCTCTCTCTCGCTCGTATTATGCGCCGCTTCGAGAGCTCCGGCAGAGTCCGGCGCGCATTTGTTTCGTGAGAAATGGACACGTCCGCGTAGTCGTCCATGTCCACGTACGTGCGTGTCGTACGGCGACGCGCGAAAATAGGAGCGGAGGAAAACCCCTGAGCGCGCGCGCGTTATTGCTGCAATTTGCGTACGCGATGCGTACATGACAGTTACGCATTGCACCGAGTATTGTGTTAACGTCCGTTCCGAATGTTGGGCCAGAGCAGTTTTTCGATCGAGTCGGAGCTATTTACGCGCTGGAGAGCGTATTAATCAAGTTCTCAAGCAGCGCTCTACTCACCGCTTGGCGCTTGAATTCTTTCCCTCTTATTTTTCGCGGAATTACGCGAAGAGACTGAGATCCGCGCCGATCTGATCGGGCGGGGGAAGGAGATTTTCCTTACTTTCCGGGACAGATTGCCCGGGTTAATGCATGTATCATTTCGCTAACATTTCGCAACTTGGAGTCGTACATGTACGTTCGTTCGTTCGTTCTCTCTCTCTCTCTCTCTCTCTCTCTCTCTCTCTCTCTCTCTCTCTCTCTCCTCTCTCTCTCTCTCTCTCTCTCTCTCTCTCTCTCTCTCTCTCTCTCTCTCTCTCGCAACTCGAAAGAGTTGCAACCCAATGCATGCACCGGAGGATGCACCGAGAACCGCGCAGTGGGTTAAAGGGTTAATTAGCCGCCACTGGAGCAAAGTGCCTATATAGCCTATATAGAGGTGGGGCGTCGTTCGCCGGTCGTAGGAACTACGGGTGGGTAGTCGCGTCCCAGCCTCGCGAGAGCCCGCGAGCCGCGCGAGCGAGACAAGCAAGTCCAAGGTTGCTCGGGGCGGGGAGGGGGGGGGCGAGGGCTCTGATGCAACACGAGCGGGTCGGGTCTGCGCTGCAACTCGGTGCAGCAGCGCGCGCGATAGGAGCGAGAGGGGAGCCCGACGCGACTGGATTGTGCACGGTTTCGCGCACCGTTTCAAGACCGATGCGCCATCAAGACGTAGCGAAAAGAGAGGCTAACGGCACACCGCCACCGCCACCGCCACCGCCGACTCGATTCGTCGATTCGATTCGCCGTCCGAGTCGTCGCAAAATCCCGCCGCGCGCGATCCCTCCCCGATTTTATCCGTCATTTTTTTGCCATTGTTTCCGACGTGTAAACGTTGAGCGTCGTAGGTTGGACTGCAGAGAGATAGAGAGAGATAGAGAGAGAGATAGAGAGAGAGATAGATAGAGATAGAGAGAGAGAGAGAGAGAGAGAGAGAGAGAGAGAGAGAGAGAGATTACCTCGCGTGAATCGCTCGATCGTGAGCAGGATGCTCACGGATCAAGAATCCTTCAAGCGAGTTGTATTATCCACGTCCTCTTTCACGGCGGGAATCCCAAGGCGGGAGAGCGCGTCTCTAGCGGCAACAAGCACGTTGAAGGGAGTGAAAAGTACACGGCCGGAATAAGCCGGGATGCTACACAAGTATTTCCCGCCCGGGTGTGAGCAAGACCCTACGTACGCTACGTACGCGGAGTAACTCTCTCGGTTAGAAATTAGAAAGTCGATACAACTTTTAATTGGGCGAGTAGTTACCTTGAGATTCCAACTTTCGTATTTTGAGCCGTTTCGCAAAACCACCATTAGGTGGAAAGATATTAACGACAGGTTGACGGACCTGACTTGTCGTCAGGTTGTAATGATATTTTTGGGGGCAGGCGCGGCACTTTGGCGGCCAACGGGCTAATATCGTTCAGCCAGCAGCTATCGAGGCTATCTCGGATTCGCGCGCGCGCGATCGCCTTAATTGCGCGTCGCGCAAACGCTTGGATGTTATGTGTACTAACGAACAGAAGATTTGTGATCTTTTCAGCGTCGGACAAGTCTCCGCCGCGACAATCTTTGCTGACAATCGCGCCGTAGAATTCGCACTCTGACGATCGCAATTATTATTATTCGCTTTTCAATTCAGATTCAGAATAGACACAACGAGACACATCGTCCCATGGAAGAATAAAAGCTGCTCGCGCGACGCGAGCGGCAGAGAACGGGGAGGGGGGGGGGAGGGGGAGAATAATTTCGAGTGCCACAAGAATAAAGAATACAACGCGTCGTTTCGGCATCGATAATTGTAGACGCGACTGACAGAGAGTGCGGAATAGCTATTATAACCGACGACTCAGCGAATGCGCTGAGGGCTGATGTTTGCGTGTTCGCGCATAAAAGTCATCGCAGATGTTCCTTTCAGCGTTGCGTGCGTTTCGAAGACGCGCGCACGCAATGCGACGACGATGCGTGCACCGCGGGAGCGCACGATCGCACAGTTGTAGCTCTGTGCAACACGAAAGACGATACGCGAGGAGTTACAACAGGCAACCAACCCCGTGCGTTGCGATCGCGTCGTCGCACCCACTATCGAGTTTCTTCTCGCGCAGCGCCGCCGATGACGAGACACGGCGTTACACGCCGTTGTCCGTGTCGTGACGACGTGACGCGACAATGCGACGATGCGTGTTGGTTCGTCGACATTTTTATTATTCCACCGGGCAACAGTTCGACGCACTGACGCACGATTATGCAAACGCGCGACGCAACGTTTCGCTTTCGACTTTTCTTCTTTCTTCTTCCACTTCTTTTTTCTTTTTTTTCTTCTTTTTGTTTCACGACACTCTATGGCGCCGCGACTAACATACAACGCCCAACGTTCAGTTTCCAAAGTTCAGCATCGCGACACATACAATTTCGCGAAAGAAGTCGTCCGTCACGTTACGTAACGTGAGAGCAAGATGACTGAAAATCTACTCGAGTGTAATTGCTGCAGCAACTAATGCGCGATTGCAAGCGCGCAGACGTTACACGAAACGGAAAGTTTGAGAGCTGAACCCGCGACGAGACGAGCGTATATATATGTGTGTGTGTGTGTGTGTGTATATATATATATATATATATATAGCGACGCAGCGACATAGCACATCTCACGAACACAAGTTAATACACCCGCCGACCCCTCGAGTAAAGACACTAGACGGCCTCGAGACTTATCGAGCGCTAAATAATTGAGGAAAGGTCGATGGTTACGTGTACTCGCGACAAAGTTCCCGAGTTAGGGGAACCAACGTTGCGCGGATGAACATTTCTCTCCGTGCAAACTCGTTTCGTCGTCCGACCGAATTATTCGTCCGGCTGCGGCGCGGCGCGGCGCGGCGCGCGCGTGTCGACCGCAAATCTTGCGCCGTTTCTCTTTTGTACTATTGTAAGAGAGACCACACACAGGTCGCGGAGGTTACTTGGAGGATAATCGGCAAAAACAAAACGTTCTTATCCGTCGGTGAGAACGTTTCTTATCGTCACGTGTCGCTGTAGGTAGAGGTATAACGATACATGGATAATGAGCGTAGTGTGCGCGCGCTCGTTATTATTGTATTCCGGGACTATCGGAATTATTCGCGTCGCGCGGTCGCGCTCGTGATTCCGTTAACGAAGGTCAGGATTATCAAGCGAATTCGAAGCGAACCTTGAACCACCGCCGCCGCGCGCGCTCATGGAAAAGTCGCTGAACGCGATGAAATTCATATTGACGTGCGTATATATCGTCGAACCTTTCCTTTCCTCGTCTTTCGCGACGCGCGGTCGCTTTCTTCCTTTTTCCTCGCAAAGAACGATGGACAGTGAAAAACGAGAACTTTTCTTGCTTTACATAGTCGGTAGCGAAGCGCAACGTTCGCGAGACGAGAGAAATATACGAGCAAACGAGCTCGCTTTCGACGATTGCCATCGCGCAATCGAATCGAACGTCAATTATTCTATACACACACACACACACGGGCATGCGCGAATACAAGGTTCGAACTTGTATTCGCGCAAATACGACGAGCGAGAATCACATATTTTTCTACGTTCGCGACTATGTATTTGATTTGTTTTCCTACGAATGTACAATCCCGACTTGAAACATCTTCCGTAAAGACATCTTCCCTGTCGACAATAAAAACCGTAACACCGCGACAAAATGTTCGGTCAGTAAAAAAACAAACAAACAAAAAAAAAAAACAAACTCACCGTGTATTTGTGTTGCTCACGCGGAGGGGCAAAGGAGCGCGTATTATTACTTACTTAACTTAAATATTTGTCACGTAATTACGTACGTAGCTACCTGTAAAGAGCTCACCTGTAAACGCCGTAATGTTTGCCACTCGCGCGGTCGCCGCAGATCGAGCACAGGTGTTTACTGCCCGATAAGGGGTGATTAGGCGGGTAAGGTGCGACCGTCTTGCTCTGACCACTGGGCGACGTGCTCAGGAGGTTGCTGTGACAACCGGCATTGAAGGATCTTACATGTAAAGCAGAGAATAAAGAGAATCGTCCATAAATCGAACTACCGCTACCGCGCGCTATCCGCCCTCTGTCTGTTCCGACTTCCGACGAAAGTCTTTCCGCCGCGAAAGTCTTTTCCTCTCCGGTCGATCTCATCTTTCATCTCATCTTTGTACAAACGGATATACACGCGGTGTGAAACTTGAATTCAAACGCGTAAAAACGAAATTCGTCGATCCTTCGTTTGTGCGAATTTATGCCAAATTTCTTTCACGCGTAATCGCATATACTCTCTCTCTCTCTCTCTCTCTCTCTCTCTCTCTCTCTCTCTCTCTCTCTCTCTCTCTCTCTCCTTCTGCCGCGCGCGACAGAATCGTGAGACAAAATTTTACATTCTGAAGGCTGATATTGCGTCGTCGAACAACATTACAACAGTCAACAGACGGGACGCTCACCCTGGACTATTGGGACCACCCGATGGACTAAAGTTTCCCGGATTGATGAGGGCCGTGTCAGGTTTCATGTCGAGGGGACTCTGCGGGTCCACCGATGACATTGACATATTGCTGTCCAGGCTCAGCCCTGCAACACACAAAAATATAATACATGGGGGATGCATCTTTAGACCGCGTTTCGCCAGATTTGCGCTCTGCTTTCTTTCGCGCGTCTCGACTCGCAAAATTCCCTATTTCTCCATCCAATTCCTTTCGATTTGAGTCGATCAGCGCGCGCTCTTTGCTCTATGCTCTTTGCGCATCCTCCCTACTAAAACGCTAAAATGCGGTGAGAGAACACCGCGCGCAGAACAACGCGATTCTTCGTGTACGTTTGTGGCGTCTCTTCCGCGTCCTTCGACATTCCCCTCTCGCTATTATCGCGCGAGGACAACGCCTCTCGGTCGATATAGCCAGTGGATGTTGAGTAGTCGTCGCATGGATCGAGTGCGACTGCGAGGAGCTGCTGACGAAGCTGCTCCATGTCGATCTCCTCCTCCTCCTTGCACATTATATAATATAAATCTTTAGATACAAATCTCTATTCATCACTTCAACTCATTTTCTCATTTACATGTAATTTTGCTGTTATCCGATTGTCCGCGCGATTTTTCATACTCTCTCTCTCTCTCTCTCTCTCTCTCTCTCTCTCTCTCTCTCTCTCTCTCTCTCTCTCTCTCTCTTTGTTTCTTCTCTCTTTTAGAATACGACAACGAACCAAGAGGTAGCACGAAGAATCTTTCTGGCGAAAGATTTTTCATCATTTTGCAAGTGCAAATTCGGAAGACGAAAAGACGCGCTTCCTCTAAAAGGAGGGAGGGAGAGAGAGAGAGAGAGAGAGAGAGAGAGAGAGAGAGAGAGAGAGAGAGAGAGAGAGAGAGAGAGAGAGAGAGAGAGAGGTGTGTAATGTCGAACCACGAATGAAGAGCGATGCCATGCGCGATCATTAGCCGAGGAATTCTGCGGCGAAGGAGCTTTTCTTTCTCTCCTCGACGCCTCGCGTGAAGCTGAATTCTTTTCCTTTCTCCGGGAGGGAAGATTGAACCTCGCGTGCAAACGCGTGTCTCTCGTATTAAATATAATGGTACCGTACCGAGAAGATCTATAAATATTAAGTAACAGCCTATTCACACTGGAGAAAAGCTGGAGATTTATGTGTCTGAAGAGAGTGAGATATGAAATGATGACCTTACTAGATCCAGGAGATCCAGGATACCAAGTATCTTTCAAGTGTGGTATGCAGGATCTACACGTACACAAGTCGAGTCGAGAGACAAAGACGAGAATCTAAATGAATAACGTACGGCGAGGTGTGTGTATGTATCGAGATGCAAACCGCACAATTCTTCAAATTCAAATTTCTCACGATTCTCATTTCCCAATTCTCAAAGGAAAAATTTCCAAAAGAAAAAAGGAAAAAAAAAAAAAATGAAGAATTTAAGCAATTTTTTCGACATTTTAAAGTTACCATCTCGCGCATCGAAGAAAAAGAGAAAAAAATCTACAGAAGCAGGTCTGCGTTTGGCATTTACGATACGAGTAGTATGCGCGCGGACCGAGGCATTTATGACGTTGCGGTGCTTTGAAAACGAGAGTTGGAAGAAACAAAGCGCCCCTCCCTTCCGTGAGAGTGAGATTTTAGGATGACGGTGGATTCGTAAAACGACGGTTGATTCTTCGTCGCACGTTGAAAGCACATTTCGCCGCAGGTATTGGCCGCAAAATATTGTCCGGGTGGAGAGGAGGGTGGCGTGACAAATGGGTTTTCTTCATTGTAAAGATACAAATTGTACGGAAATGAATGAAAAGAAATGTGCGACCCGCGCCTCTTTCGTCCCTTTTGTCCTCGTCGTTTTATATGGGAGTGCAAAACTTGGAATTATAGAATGTAGAACATTTATCCGCATGATTTCTCGCGTTTACACGTGCGCGCGCGCATGACACTTTTCCGCTTCTTCGAATCTACCGAAGGGAAGCCCGACACTTGCTCTCTCGTCTCTCTTCGCGACGATGAGATGAAAAGTTTGCACTTGGTGCTGAAAAAAATGTGAAATCATGGATGGACCTCCATATGTCCGTCCATCTCGTAGAGAGATTCTTCTTCTCTCTTACACGTGACACATGACACATGACATTCATACATTTTATATTTAGTTCATTATTGTTGGCGGCCATGATGTATGTACTCGCTGGTTCGTACCACGCGATTCGCGTTTTCTCCGCGCTGTAACACGCTGTAAGGGAGAAAGAGATAAATGACATTTCAATCGATTCCAAATATCGAGAGACACTTTGCAGGCAACGTCGACGACGAATATTTCTGCGGGCAGACGCAGGAGCGTCAAGAGCCCCGCCGCTCTTGAAGGAGGTTGTGTTATCCACTTTATACTCGTAATCTGGGATAAGATTGAAGACAAAATTCTATTCTAAGGTGAAATTATACCTCGACTTTGGATCAGTGTGTTATCTCTTGAATATTACAGGATATGCAACAGCGGTATATACACAGACACAGGTTTGCCGCCGAGTTTCAGTATAAATCAGCGGATCGTCGGAAACGGATTTTACAGAGCAGCAGAGTGGCCGGAGCAATGAGCGTACGAGCAATGAGAGACGATCCGTTCGTCGCGGACGCGCGTCAAGTGCATTGGTAATTGCACGCCTGACGTCATTCCACCCCTCCGCTCTTTCTCAGAGTCAGAGAGAGAGAGAGAGAGAGAGAGAGAGAGAGAGAGAGAGAGAGAGAGAGAGTGAGAGAGTGAGAGAGTGAGAGAGAGAGAGAGAGAGAGAGAGAGAGAGAGAGAGAGAGAGAGAGAGTGAGAGAGAGAGAGAGAGTGAGAGAGAGAGAGAGTGTGAGAAAGAGAGAGAGAGAGAGAGAGAGAGAGTGAGAGAGACTCGGTCTCGACCCACGGTCTCGCTCGGAAGCGCATCACTAACCGACAAATGCGCAGCAGACGGATAGATTGGGATTTATGGTAGTATGTTGTCCCTGCATGCATGCATGCACGCACACATACACACACACAGCCAGATGACCGCCAAGTATCGATGGTCACTGACCAGCGACGCACCGATTCCTCTCGTGACAAATATACCAGAGCCTCGCCGCTCGCTATTATGAGAGATGTATGCTCGTTTCATCATTTTTATAACAACTATGTAGACAAATGATTATGCGGCCGAGTCGTGTGCGTGTGCGCGAGGGATAAGAAGAAGGTATGTCGACATACTTTGAGATGACCGACGCTACAGAGACGACGCCCCGTCGAATGCGGCGATTATTTTTAGGCCGATGCAACGGCCAGGCGGCGCGTTATATATCGGCCGGGAGAGTTCGTGGACCGAGCACGAAGAAGCGTTCGATGAGGAGGAGGAGGAGTGGAGGAGCGGCAGCCGGTGGAACGGGGCCACGTGGCTCCGGTGGCCGCTCCGGTGACCCACAAAATGATTTATGCGGTCGAACCGCACAGAGAGAGAGAGAGAGAGAGAGAGAGAGAGAGAGAGAGAGGAGGGAGAGGGAGAGAGAGAGAGGGAGAGGAGAGAGAGAGAGAGAGAGAGAGAGAGAGAGAGAGAGAGAGAGAGAGAGAGAGAGAGAGACGGAGAGAGAGACGGAGAGAGAGAAAACTGGAATTATTTCCTGGGCGTTTGCGCCGGTAGTAATTTGCGATAACGACCCAGGATCAAAATAGCGCGCGGGCGGCCAGGGATTCCACACCTTGCGATATCGGATTTAGCATCGGCTCCGTTTAGACTCTGCTCCGTTTGCTCGAGATAAAGAGACGGACGTTTCTCGGGACGTTTGTCGGGCTTGAGAGACAAATGCCGTAGATGCCGTGATCGATTATACAACAATCATACAATCATAAATCTCGCGACCTTTGTCTCGTCAATCGACATTTGCGTACGAGCGGCGAGAAAGCGCGTCCACCACGCACGCCGCCCGCCCCCCCTCCCTCCCTCTCGTCTTCTTCTCTCTTGGCATTTCCTCGTCGCTGCAATCGCGGCGGAAATGAGTATTAAAAGGTTTCCCGCGCGACCTCGGGACATGTGATCGTAGTGAGGTGTACACGAGATGCGTGTGCGTGCAGTGCATTCGCATTCTGCGTGAGTGTATATGCGTGCGCGTGTCAACGATTCGACGAGCGCGCGCGCATAGATGAGTTATACGTCGAGGTCGTAGCTCTTTCGCTCTCGCGAAAGCTGACTTCTATTTCGAGTGTCGGATCGTCGTCGTCGTCGTCGTCGTCGTCGTCGTCGTCGTCGTCGTCGTCATCGTCGTCGTCGTCGTTGTTGCGTGCCGCTCATCACTCTCGTTTATTAAGCGCCGCTGCGTCGCTGGTTTAATTACGCAACCGGCCGGCCGGCCGGTCGCGCCACCGCCGCCGCGGTCGGCCGGTTGCCTGCAAAGAGGACCGAAGGTCGTCGACAGACTCGCCGCCGCGAGAGACTCCGCGACGCGGCGACAAGAGATAGAGCGCATCGCGCGGCGAATGCACGACGCGATGCAATCGCGTCGTGTACATTCCGAGCGAATCGTTTGCACCGACACGCAAGCAAGCTACGCAACTCTGAAAATTTGCAATTTTCTCACTTTTGCCAAGAGTTGCACAAAAGAGAGAGAGAGAGAGAGAGAGAGAGAGAGAGAGAGAGAGAGAGAGAGAGAGAGAGAGAGAGAGATTTTTGGCTAGATATTCAAGAGACAGAGCATCTTCATCTTTCATTCTCTCCTTCCTCAATGCGACTCGATATCGTTGATTTAGGAATTTTTACGCAGTTTCCGCCTATTTTTCGTGCACGTACGCACGTCTTCTTCCACACAAGAGAAGAATTACATAACCAATGCCAACGGTAAGGCGCGGCAGATGAATCGCGCTTTCAGTGTCGAGACAAAAACATCGCCGCGCGCGACCGTGTTGCATTTCTCTACTCTACTCTAGGAGAAAAGTAATGGCCACATGACCACGACTAGTACGATCTCTACGCTACGAGACGGCAATTAAATTTATTCGTTGATACTAATCGCACGTCGTCGTGGTCGTGGTCGTATAGTATAGCGCATTGAGTAATTTCGCACAACGAGCGGCCGTA